ACACACACACACACACACACGACGCGTTACTCTGCGCTGCGCAAAACTCTGCATTTAAACAGTCAATAGCAAATACTTAAACTAATAACAAAACGCACTTACAGTTGCTGATTTAGAAGCGCCAGATTGTCATAGCAAAGTCGGAAATGACCCTTTTTTTTAGAAAAAAAAAAGCCTTTGTGCACAGCCAGCCTTGTACTCACGTAGACATGTGGGGGCGTGTTAGAACGAGCCGTTTTAGGTAGGTGTGGTTGACTCTTAACTTTTATAAAGAATATCTCTTTGGATTTGAGACTTTAGTCTTTGCAACTTTACAGATCTTCTTTATGCACCAAGAGCTTGTAACACTCCAAAGAGAAAGGACAACTTGAAATCGCATCATATGACCCCTTTAAATACAAAATAGAAAACATTCCATTCATGTTAATGCAGCTACATATAGCCAAAAGTGCAAATACACAAAAGTACAAAAAAATAAAAGAAAGCAAACAAAGCAATGTAAGATTGTAGGATTTCGTCATGTGAAAGTTGATGTGTGTGAAAGTCTTATCTGTAGTACATCAATTTCCAAACACTGTCCATAGCTGAAGTTGGCTGATAGCAAATGAATAATCCAACCTCTTGTAATGAAAACATGCCACAGCTCTCAAACACCAGACTCTTCCTAACCAGGAAAAGTAAAAAATAGTCCGGACTATCTCATGTCGAAAATAACTTTAAATCTGTATTCAAACTGGACCATGATGGGGTAGCCTCACCAATAAAGAGTCCTCCTAAAATGCATACAAATACACTGTCTTAAACTCTTAGCATTAATCCAAACATAGGCCATACATACATATAACATCTCTGCAAAAAACATCAGCAATGTACACTTTTAAATAGGAAAAAAAAAAAACTTAAGACTGGGGTTGAAATGACACATTTCCTAACCAGGACACAGCACAATGTGTTCAGCAGATGAGCCATGCTGGCTACTGCTGTTTGCTATTGCTAACTCCTTCTACCACATGGTTTTACTTAAGGAAGCCTAAAACACCCTAGCTTAACACCCTTAACACCCTAGTGGTAAGGAAGAAAACTGCCCACAAAATCCTTATTAACAGGCGCATATCTGTTACACCTCAAATATGGCTCGTGAGATCCACTTTCCTGCAGAGTTTAGCTCCATCTTTGATCAAACTCACCCACTTGTGATTTTCTAATGATCCTGAAGACATGCTCAGGTGTGTTTGATTAAGGTTAGAACTAAAATCTGCAGGAAAGTGGATCTCGTGAGCCAGATTTGAGGATCCCTAGCCTATATGAAACAACAGGTTCTGAAAAGGTCTCTTTTGGTTTGAGCCATTCCAGTTCAATTGAGTGGCTAAAGAATGGCCAGTCAGTGTTGTTTGTATTCTCCTAGTTGCATTACAGGGCTGCCTACACAAAACCTGCATGGGCCCAAAGGATACAAAAATTGCTCTGGGCCAGAACGGGCTGGCCCACACTGGACCATCATGGGATTAATGTGGACAGTCCGCTAGTGTGGCCTGCTCACAGAGAGCCTACGGTGAGCCCAAAGCTGTGGACCTCGCCTGGGCAAGCCCGCACTGAGCCTGTTTAGGTTTGGTGTGGGTTGGCCCTAACCCACTGTGCCCGCAAAAAGCCAGCATGGGCCCCGCAAGGACATGTTTGCAGGGTTAAATAGACAGATAATAATTAACTGAAACAGAACAGATTTGGAGAACTAATTAACAACCAAGGAGACTAACTAGCAGAAACACAGGCAAACGGGAACAAGGAAAACCAAAAGGCAAAGAAATTAAACAGGGACCGTAACAGTATTATATTGCAGAGCAGTTCCTTTTCCTATTGAGCAGTCCCAAATGCATTGTAGTGATTTAATACAAAATATCTTAACCTGTTTAACCTGTTTCCACTAAATAATGCTTTATAAATAGCCATAATGTGTAATACTCAAACTAGTCAAGAACATCTAAATAAACACACAAAAGCACATTTTCTTTTTTTATTGAATTGTTTTACAGAAATAGACATTTTAATCTAATTAGTTTTTTTTTCTAAATGTGTGAATCAAATTTGACAAGAACATCTATTATATTAAATCTGAAGCCAAACTAATTCATTTACTAAAAGCAGAATAATACAGAAGCTGTCGTGAAATGTATGAGATATTCTAATATGCTTAAAGTGATTAATATTGTCCTTTCTTTTACATTTATTTTTGTACAAATTACATTATCAATATTTAATTACATCTTCCAATTGGGACAAGATACAGGAAAAACATTTAAGAGCTGTATTTTTATTTGCTGTGTTGTATCCCGATCATGAATATATGATTTTTTTCTATGTGTTTGACCAAAGGATCACAGGTGGGTGCAGTTTCTGAGATCAAAAGGCTCCTTAATTCCTTCAGGTTTTTTGGCTTTGTGTCTGTTTTCTTGTTTATTTGAAATCTTAGACTGAATCTGAGCCAAAAGTGATTTGCAGATTAGAAGTAAAAAAAAAAAAAATAAATCACATTTTAATACAGTATATTATTATGTTCTGAAATTCACTTGTGAAATTTTTGTGTGTGTGTGTGTGTGGGGGGTGAAATATTTTCCATATTTATTTGATAAATGGGGTTGGTAGCTGTATCTGTCTTCACTTAATAACTTTCCTACATTACAACCCACCTTTCACTCCTACTCTTTTTTCTTCTTCTCATTTTTCCTTTTCCTCTTTCTCCATCCCTCCTCGTGCATGTCAGCGGGCTGCTCTCCTTAATTCTATTTCTGTGTATCTCATGGGGAAGTGCATGAAGCATCTGGAATTTTCCCTTCATCCCCTCCCTCTCTTTAGTTCCCTGTTTTCCTCCCCTTTCTGTTCATGGATCTGGCTTCAATATTCCTGCTTTGCCCTCCCCCATATCCATCGCTACACTTCACAATGCCTGGTGCAGCCCATGCTGGTGTCCCATGTCTTCTTTTATTCCTGAATAGAAATGGGTAGTATTTACTGCACAGCACAAGGGAAAGTTTGGGAGTGACATTGTAGATCCAATTCATACAGTTAATACACTGGATTACAGTGGTGACATCATTGAAGGTTAAGATAGGCAGGTAATGAACATTTCATCTCATCTTTAATTTGTATATGCATGAAATATGTACGTATGTTTTACAGTGGTGTGAAAAAGTGTTGGCCCCCTTCCTGTTTTTTGTGGCTAGTGAAATTTAACTCAGCTTTCTAAAATAATGTGGTTAATTGCAGTTCTTTCATGATTTAACAGGAGGGGGCAATTAATTTTTCACGTAGGGCCACGTAGGTTTGGACAGCTTTTTTCCCTTAATAAATTGAAATCATCATTTAAAAACCGCGTTTTGTATTTACTTGCATTATCTTTGTGTAATATGTAAATTTGTTTGATGATCTGAAACATTAAAGTGTGACAAACATGCAAAAAAATAAGAAATCAGGAAGGGGGCCAACACTTTTTCACACCACTGTAATTTATTTACGCTACCAGGAAAAAGTTTTTTTTCTAAAAGAAATGAATACTTTTATTCAGCAAGGATGTATTAAATCGATAAATTGAATTAATTGATTAAATAGATCTTTATAATGTCCTGGCATAGAATTACCAGCACATTTCAATTAAGTTTAAAGACATTTCTTTCAAGCCTAAAACAACAAAATGCAATGCATAATTCGAAATATAGGTAAAACACCTGTGAAAAATCAGTACCAAAAATTATTTCATATTCTTTCATATTGAGTAATGGCTGCTAAAAAATTCAGCTTTGCCATCACAGGAATATATTACATGTGAAAATATATTAAAGTAGTAAATTTGTACAGCTATTTTAAATTATACAAATATTTCATCATATTACTGTTTTAACTGCATCTTGATTAAATAAATGCAGCCTTTGTGACCATAAGAGACTTTCAAAAACCTTAATGAATCTTACCGACCCCAAACTTTTGAACGTGTACATACTGTACTCGTAATCCCTGTTTACCTTCATCTGTAATTTAAAGACTCCATATTATTCTTTCAGTTGCTGCATATGAATTTCAACCTCTTGCTTTTGCCTTTTTTCATGTCAAATTTCTTATTTAGTTTCTTCCTTTTCATCCATAACTTTCCTTTTGTTTCCCTTGCTTTCTCATTTTCTTTCTTTTTATTTTTTTTTTCTTTACACTGCCATGGCTTTTTATCCATTCATCAGCATTCTTCAGGCTCATTGAGCACTTTGATGTGCCGTGTTTCAGTGAGGCTCGTGAGCAGCTTACTTAGACGTTTCCGATGGTTCTTTCAGTGGTCCCAAAATTCAGGGGACTCAGACAGAGGTCTGACCTGATGGCAGACATAAGGAGCTTAGTACCAGTCTGCACAGCAGCACATTATGTACCAGTAACTGCATATTTGGCCTATTCCACATATGCACGTGGCAGTTTGTTTAAGAGGAAATGTTTCTTATAGTGAACTGCTATTGCCTGATTTGACCCAAATTAGTGATTTGAATGTATTATTTACTTAGAATTAATTATCAGATTACTGACGAGATTATAATATTTATTTCTCTTTCCTTCAGCTCCTCGGACAAACTTTGCAGCGGAGAATGGTGAGTGACCATATACTCCTGAGAATTGCTGGGTGCTCATATGGTTTTGGCAAGATATATGATTCTCATAATTTTTTGGCAAGGCTTTTAACCCCAGGGAGACTGTGTCTGTAGTCTGTAGTTAATTTATTTTGCATAAATAAAAGAACAGATAAATATTTGCAGTTATCAACACAGATTCAAGCCTGTACTGTACACGCCCTCTACTGTACACTTACGAACAAGGCAGTCAAAATTTAACAAACCTTTTCTCATATAGTGAGGTTGTTTCATAAACTGATGTTTATTGTTCTGTCTTATTATTATTATTATTATTATTATTATTTGAAGACTACATATCCAAGTCAGCCTCTTTGCCCGGATATGGCAGGAATGGATTGCACAGGGTAAGTTTCACTAGAGCACTCAAAGCAGATGGGTTGGAAATGTCATTTAAACATTTAGCCACAATTTGTTTGCCTGTCTATTTGTTTTCCAGCCACAAAGTGCAGACTACTATCAGTATGACAGTGGTAGTGAAGTCACCTGGGGAATCAGAGGTAAGTAAAGGAGCTTTTTTCTTCTTTTTACAAAATGCTTATTTTGCTGACATATTTGGGAATAAAATTATTTGTACTGAAATTAGTTCTGACTTTAAAAGCTTTTTTTTTCTTTCCCAACAGAGTACAAGGTAAGGATGATGGTTTAGCATTACCAGACGATTAAAGAGGGCCCAGAGAGACACTAAAACATCCTGATACAGAGGCACCTCTGAAACATTAGCCCACTGTCCACTCCAGAGGAAAGCTCTGTCCACTGATGGGTCAAAGCAACGTCCTGCTGGTCAAAGCATGTGGAAACCAGAGGATGGAGAAATTAGTGCTTCCAGGTCATAAGGTCACTGTGTCATTCCCCAGCTGGCCCTTAGTGAGTTGGAGACTGCAGGGGCCGTGGAGAGGGCAGGAGTTTGTCTGACCCATTTGCTTCTGGTTGGTCAGGAACTATATTGTTCTCCTGTCTCAGTTACAGCTTCTGTGCCAGAGGCTCTGTGATTTCCTTTCACTTTTGTAAGTGAGAGGAAAAGGAGGTCCACCAATGCACAGCCTGTTCTGATAACAATGCTTAGCTTTCCATTACCAATCAATGAAAGAAAGTTTCACAGAGTCAGGACAATTATTTGTAAATAAATAAATATAAGTTTCAATATTTACGTATTTTAAAGTTTACAATGAACTTTCATTACAGATCTACCCATATGAAGCACTTATTGTGACCACTAGGGGGCGTAATAAGTTGCCAAAGGATGTAGACCGGGCCAGATTGGAGGTAAACGGTTTATTATATTATTACAGCATGTAACAGTTTTAATATATGAATATTATATTAAATTCTAAACTATATATTGTGTAAATACACTGCTGTTTGGTGTCAGTAAGATTTTTGTTTGAAAGAAAATAATACTTAATATACTTACTACCTAATAAATGAATGCTATTCAGCAAGGATGCATTAAATTGATCAAAAGTCACAGTAAAGAAGTTTACAATGTTACAAAAAGATTTATTTTTAAAACGAATGCGGTTCTTCTACAGAAATAAATTACATGTTAAAATATATATTAAAACAGAAAACAATTATTTTACATTGTCATAATATTTCTCAATATTATTATTTTAATTATTATTTTAAGTATTTTTGATTCAATAATTGTAGCTTTGGTGAGCATAACAGAACATAAGATCTATCTAGCTCTCTCTATATATAGTAAATTATAACAATATTTAATAATTGCTTACAAATAATGAACACATGGACGACTAGATGGGCATACTGAATTTTCCTTTTCATTTTAGCGGCATCTTTCCCCTGAGGAGTTCTATCAGGTGTTTGGGATGACAATGGTGGAGTTTGACCGTCTGGCACTGTGGAAGAAGAACGAGATGAAGAAACAAGCCCGGCTGTTCTAACATTTCTGTCCCACATACACAAAGAGACCTGAATACCTGTTCCAGTCTAACTAAACAAACACATCCTCAGACACATAGTCATGCCTGGTCTGTACCTAGAAATTGTGCAACTGTTCTTTGTGACAGATGCATATAAATGATCAGACAGGCTAGAATAATTGACAAAGAAAGACAGAAATAAATAACATAAACAGAATGGTGGGAACATTTTAGTTTTACTTGAGTGTAAAGTGGTTCTTGGACACATTTTATTTTGTTTCTGAATGACAAAACTAAGGAATCAGGAATTGTAAGGATTTTGAATTTTGCCTTATGTTCTCTATTAATTTATCCACCAGCAAAGTGAGTGAAGAGAATGTAAATATGATTAATACAACTATAATGAGAGTGGATGAATCATTCGACATCATCCATCAAGTACATTATTAAGTAATATTTAATTTTAAAGGTTATAAAATTATATTTTCAGTCCTTTTATTTCACTATTATACAAGGACTACATAAGCTTAGGTGGACTGAAATAAGCGCTGATTTTCTTGACAATGAATACCAAAGTCTGACTGTTATTTGTGAAGTTAGCAGATGAAATTGAGCACTACGGTGCTGTACTTTGTTCAGGTCATTTCAAAGGAGTAATGCATACTGAATGTACACTTTTCTCACAAGAAGACTTTAGGATTATTAGACTAATATTGATGAAACACACATTGTATATTGTGATGGTAGAAATACATATGGCTTGTGTCTAATACAGATGATGAAGACAAAACAGATACTAGGAAAGAATTAAGGTGCAATGCTTTTCTTTCTTTCGTTTTCTTTTTTTCTGAGATGTTATGCTCTTAACAAAAGAGATCTGTTGGTAAGGTTAGACCAGATTACTTTCATCACTACTGTTAGGATGGATCAGGAAATGCTGTGATACCTTAAAGTGGGTTTAATATATTTTTGGGTCATGCCAGGGCGATTATGTCACCTGATTTGGTAATGAAATAAATGCAGAGGGAGTAAACATGAATTGTATGGCCAATAATAGGGATAACATGTTCACACTCATATTATTTGATGAAAAACACATTATCACACCATTGAAGCAAGTGACAAATAACAAGCTGTAACCCTGATTAGGACCTAACAGTAACTGTGGGGTCTTTCATGCCAAGGGATACTGATACTTAGTTTTTGTAACTCACTGACAAACAGGTGAAACCATCATGTTTTCTGCCTTTGTGTATAGTGTTTACAATCTGTTTGCCCAATAGATTGTTATGAAGTGTTCTATTACTTTCATAGTGAAGGAAGAGAGCTAGAGTATAACCATATTTTTGAGTCTCTCTTTTTTAATCACAACTGCTACTTTACTAACTTTATTTACCCGTCAGTTTCAACAGACTATGTACATCTTCTATTGCAATTAAAGATTGATTTCTTCTGTAAAACTGTTTTTGTGTGATGAGTGGCATCAGAAGTCATGTGGGGCAGTCTGTCATCAAACCCGTTCAGAGCGAGCATTAGGACCCAGCAGGAGAATGGAGGGAAGTCGGTCTCTGTAACTTCATTGAGAATCTTTCAATGCAGAGTGTCTGTCACTTAAGTACGTAACATCGATGGGTGCACGGGCTGCAATGTGTGTTTCCAACACGCCAAGGAGTTCTGTTTGATTCTTCTAATATGGAAATAAACAGCAAACGTGAGTAAAATGGTATTGTAGTTAAATAATCATTCGCAAATAATTGCATGACAAGTTTATTTACCTAAACTAACAGAAACCTAATGACGCTAGATAAGACAAAGGTTTATCCTAAACTAACAGTCTAATTATACTGTTAGTTTAGGATAAACCTTTGTCTTGTCATTTTATGCATAGCCGCGACTGCTCCTGTTGTTTAACACAAACTATATAACAATGTTTTGAGAGCTCAAATAAATAGTTGAGTCCACTTTTTTCATTTGCTATTGAAGGTGCACTGCACCAAACGTGTCCCTTTTTCCATTGTTGCTATGTTCGAATCATGTTCGAGCGAATCGTTCTTTGGAGTCAGACATGTTGAATCAATTGAACCAGTTCACTAAACAGCACTGGAAGATTCATTCATTACTCGAACATTTCCGGGTTTCTCAGCAGCAGAAGTCGTCAGAGTTGACTACCACAAATATATATTTTTATAAATCGCTAAAGAAGAACTCTGTGATAGTGTTTTCATTACTTTCAAAAAAAAAAAAAAAAAATAGAGAGAGACTGATAACAGCAGTCAGTAGAGAACAATGGCAAATTTACCGCCTGTTAGAAACACCCTAGCGTAGCGTTAACTAGTTTTTTGTAATTTGATGCAAAGGTAATATACTATAGTACAAATTATAGTGTTATAAATGTACATACATTTAAAAAAAAAATGAAAATACAAAAAACTTTGGAGGATTTACGATGCTGATGACTGTTGAAACGCGTCATCACAGTCTTGTGAAAAGGGCCCATCGGTCCAAGCGGTTCTTTAGTCAATTGACTGACTATTTCACCGTGTCTACACCGGATGCGAGCGGCGAGGCGCGACAAAATACTATAGAACTCATTATAATCAGTGATGCTGTCTACACTGGATGCGGCGCGACACGACAAATCCCTGACAGAAAACTGCTGCTGCTGCATTGTGTTTATTACGTATTGACACAAATTTCAAATGGATTTCAACGGTCGCTTTGTCGCGTCCAGTGTAGACAGACTTTAGCTGTTGGCGCGGCACGGCGCGACACGACAACTGTCGCGTCCGGTGTACACATGGTGTTTGAAACCTCTTTTTCGAATGTGTACAATTCGTGATTTCGAATGAACCGAGGATTTGACTGATGGGGCGAAAAATAAGTTCCTTAATAATTGCCGGGAAAACAAATCGTTAGGACTTAATAATGTATGATGACGACAAGTGATGACATATACGTCATTGCATAAAGGAATTGCTGAATCGTTTACCAAACGATTCGTTGTAACGCATTGTACTAAAGAACCGATTCGTGGTTATCAGTCGGACTTCCTGTACTCTTCCCATCAGCTCTTCTGCAGTGCCTTATCTTTTACCCATAGAGATCCACTGTACATTATGAAACTCTGACTTTGAGCAGCAGCTGTTACTCTCATGTGAGTTAATGATTCTCCTCATTTTCCACAGGAATTTACTGTTTTCAACTCACTCTATTTCGCACAGACTCTCCTCGACTTAAAACGTTCAGGAAAAACTCCACACCTGGAACATGAGCCTGCTGTGGGTGGCATAGTGATTCAGAGGCTTGTCGCAAGGTTTCGTTTTCAATTTCTCTTGGACCTGGGCTCTGAGATCTTTCTTACTCTTGTGCTTCTTTGTTTATAATGTGAAGTCTGTCTTTATAAGGAGCTGAGTTCTAACAGGACCCCTGTGGTGAGGCAGTAGTACTTCTCTTGATCTCCTAAAAAGTCCTACTGTTTTGATAGTTGCTGTTTTGGCATGGTGCAGGAATGAGAGGGCTGCTACTTGCTTGTGGCGTTGGCTCTTGTATTTTTCTTTCCCTCACTGAGACAATGAGATGAATCCTGCTGGCTCTCTCAGAACAAACCGGATGCGTCTGGTCAGGCAGTGGTCATTGCTGTACATGTTTTTGTACAGTTCCTCCCCCCAACACCACTCCCAGCAAAGTTAAACTCCAGTCGTCTACCTCTAAAAGACTGAGTTTACACAACATATCAAAGATAAAAGGAAAGATTAATAGGTCTCCTGTTCAAATCACAGCCTAGTCTAAACCTAAAGATAATGATTCCTAAAAAGGTAAAACGTAATTGCGGAAGACATCATTAGTTAATTTTTGAGAAGGAGAAGAGTTAATATTACCTTTGAAGATAAGAGCAAATGTATTTATCTGAGCATGACACACTTTGTGTCTACCTTCTTTTTGCATGCCACTGTCTTTGGTTTCCATTCTAAACATGCACATTCATCTTCTAATAAAGGAAAAGCTCTCTTAACTCATGACACAATTCCTTAGCCATTTGGGATTGTGAATAGGATCATAAAATGCACACCTTTACACACTTAAAAACAGTGACAACTACCAGGTAGACACATGCAAGTAATTACAGAGTGGAGCACCTCAGCTTGCGTTCGAACAATGTATGGCAGCTCTCTTCCACTTTCTCCTAAGACGTTCAGTCACTCAGTCCGTCACTAAAACCAGCAGTATTTCTTTTCGCCGCCCATTAGGTTTCCACAGGTGTATTTCGGAACCACCTGCCTCATCTGTTTTCAGAAGGTGAAGGCCGTGTCATCGGTTACTGTTACTGTTTACAAGATACAGCGAAGTTCTTTCTCACTCCCTGCCAGATTCCTGATCTATCAGAATGTGAGTGTTTACACAAACTCAAGGGACGAAGAACAGAAAAAAAAGACATCCAGCAGACATCCCCTTCGGAGCAAACATGTTGTTTCTCTCACTATTTTTTTTTATCTTGCTGCTGAATGTCTCCTTGGTGTTTGGGAATGTGAAATGTTTCTGGTTGTTTCAATCAGTTGTTAATATAGTGATTTAGTTTTAAAGGGACAGATCAGTCCAAAAAACCTGTATTTCTTTCTTTCTTCTTCCATACAGTGGAAGTCAGGGGGGCCCAGTGTTATTTTGGTCCCCACTGACTTTAATGTATGAACAAAAACAGTCAAAACTTTCTTCAGAATATCATATTAAGTGATCAGCAGCAAAAAGAAAGTTGACTTGAGTGTGAACTATCCCTTTTAGGTCACTTTCATGATCACATTTTGAGTTTTCGAGTGACCTTTTGAAAGTTCCCAGTTTTAACATTATATTGATGTGGTTTGTCTAGATTACTGATTAGATTGCGGGCATTTTTACTCTGGTTAGGTCATTTGCTCTCATGTGAATCATTAAACTTCGGACGGTTCTGAGAGCAGACCGTGTGTGGCTAGAGAAAAAGGTGCTTGAAGCCAGAGAATCAGGTAGGCGTGTAGGGGACTCTACCTCTCCCCACTGACTCTTTGAGTATGTGGGATTGTCTCTTCATGTAAGACACTGCACTGAATCATGATTATTGTTTCCTTCAGACTGTGAGCATGTTGAAGAGTTTAGGAGTGTCAGGAACAAAGATCATTCGTCTTGTAAATCCTATAATGAAACATGAATTTGCACTACCGCTGTCATCCAGAGTTCTTGAGATCAGCTAAATGAATAGCAACAGTGTTTCCTTGTTAATGCAGAATCTGCAAGCCTGGTCTGGCCTTGATTGTTGTATGTCACGGTTGCAAGTCGGTACAAAGCAACCTGTTCCCTCCGGCTTACAGGAATTCCACTTTTGTATAAATACATGGATATGGGTAAGCAGGATTTAGTGCAATAATGCGACCGCTTGTCAACCATCGACTTCAACTTGAACCCTGACAAAGGAAATGCACAGCATGCATGCTTTTGTGATTACAGCGTTGACTTGGCTTAGAAACATCTTTGTTTGCTTTGACCATTTTACGTCTCGGACCACCCATTCAATCTCTATGAGCATCGTCTGCCTTCTTGCCAATGATAACTCAACCAGCTGAAATGGACTAGACAATGCACACCCACCAGAATCTCATGCATGATAATGGAAGCATTTAACAAGGTGTGTGTCAGTGTTTAAGGTCTTTAACAAGTCTCCAGTGAATCATAGTGCAGGCTGCGCTCACTGATTTCCATGGTGAACTTGTGGCGGTTTCCACAGTGACACCATTTGATAGAAAACTTTCTGTGTACCACATGTAAAGGTTCTTCTGGCAATGAAGATATGTGTAGAGTGAAGTGAGCTTTAAATATGATTTGTGTGGCATAGTGGTTATAATGGGTGTGAGTTTGAACTCTGCTAGGCACACAATTGTGCCTTTGAGCAAGGTATAGCTAACCTCAGGTTGTTCAGGGTGGTCTGTCAGTGTAATGTGTGTAGTGCAAGTCGCTTTGGATAAAAGCATCTGCTAAATGACCATTCACTTGAGTTCTAAATGTACTGCGAAAGTAGGCAATAAGTTATCAGCCCAGACTGTATTTGTTAACCGTGCATATCTTCATACAGGTGCAGATGGTGTTTGCGTGACAAGCTTGATTTATCTACCTGGTTCAGACAGAATGACTGTTAATCAAAGCAGAGTTACACGGTAGCGAGTCTAGCGACCCACAAAACTTGATTTGTAGGTTGTGTATCTGAAGCTAAATCTTGCTGACTGTTACAGTACATTTATCGCTGTTTTATGGATTCGCATTTTGCTTACCCAGGAATTTGCATTGGTACTCATGAGCTCTGTTCCAAAACTAAGTGAGCTGTCATTCTGTCTACTGCTTACATTGGCAACTGCCTTTTAAGTCATAGAACCTCATAAGTGACTCATGAAAGCTCTAAATAGGCGACAACTCTGTGTGCCACACAAATGACGCTCCTCACTTGAAGCACATGGAGACTTGGCACGTAATTGAATGTAAAAGAGAAATCTTAGCATATTGGTACTTTTAAGAATCAAATGAAATATAACTTTAGTCTATAATCAATCGATATGCAGATGGTACCATATTGGTTATCAGCTTACATTACTGTTCAAAAGTTTGAGGTCAGTGAGATTTTAAAAATATTTTTAAAGAAATGTCTTCTGCTCACTAAGTCTGCATTGATTTGATTAAAAAAATATATATTTTAAT